TCAAATTTTAAGTAGAATATTGGGAAAACCTCAAATAAAATTTAACCTTTCTAATTTTATAAATTATTATTACCAAATATTTTTTATCTATACAAATTTTTAATAATCCCTCTTGCACGTAAACTTTATTCTCAGTAGATCCAAAGAAGTTCTGTAGATAATGTTATTTTTAAATTGTTTTTATTCTAGGACTTCAAAAACACACATAATGTATTTCTTTTTAGGGCTGTATAACTTGAGACTGATAATCCATTGCTACAAAATATCACAAATCTTATTATTTATAAGCAGTATCTTGGTGGAATAACAAGTGATTAAAAGATTGTCTTTCCTAAGATTATGATTCACATTTGAGAGCTATAAAAAGGTACTAAAGCAAAAGAAAAAAAGAACATTGTTCTAAAGACGGAAGAAAAAGCATAAGTTAAAACTGATCGTCTAAAAAATACAGACAAAATTTTGTTTTCTTGAAATGGAGTTTTGCTCTTGTTGCCCAGTCTGGAGTGCAATGGCATGATCTCAGCTCACCTCAACCTCCACTTTCTGGGTTCAAGTGATTCTCCTGCCTCAGCCTCCCAAGTAGCTGCCATGCGCCACCACACCCAGCTAATTTTGTGTTTTCAGTAGAGACAGGGTTTCTCCATGCTGATCAGGCTGGTCTCGAACTTGAGACCTCAGTGATCTGCTTGCCTCAACCTCCCAAAGTGCTGGGATTACAGGTGTGAGCCATCGTGCCTGACCCAGACAAAACTTTTTTAAATTACTTGTTGATAAATAACAAATACAGTTGTCCCTTGTTATTCATGGAGAATTGGTTCCAGGACTTCCTGCCTCCCTGTATATTAATACCCAAATTCCTTGATGTTCAAGTGCCTTATATAAAATGCTGTAGTATTTGAATATAACCCATGCACATCCTCCCATACACTTTAAAGCATCTCTAGCTTGCTTATAATACACAATACAATGTAAATGTTCTGTAAATAGTTGTTAGACTGTATTGACTTTTGTTTGAACTTTTATTGATAATTTTTTCACATTTTATTCACTCTGAAATTATTTTATTCTTATATTGTTATTTTTTGTTGGTTTTTCTTTTCAGTATTTTCAAACCACTGTTGGACCCACAGAGGGCTAACTGTAAGTTTATATCTATCTAAACGGTTTATATCTAAATATATCTAGGAAGATATAGATAATCTGCATATATAAGTCTACGTAGATATAGATAGATCAATAAATATAAAATCAAGAAGCTTCTATGAAACAAAAAGTAGGGAGCTATAAAGGTGAAGGCAGAAATGCAGAACAAAAAGCCAAATTAAACAAAAAAAGAATTCAAGGAAATTTAAATTCTAATAAAATAGTTAAAATCCACATTGGAGATAATTTAAAGCAGAAAGGACATCAAAAAATTGTAAGTGAAATAAAGAACAAACTTTAGGCTGGGTGCGGTGGTTCATGCCTGTAATCCCAGCACTTTGGGAAGCTGAGGTGAGCAGATCCCTTGGGGTCAAGACCAGCCTGGCCAACACGGCAAAGCCCCATCTCTGCTAATAATACAGAATTAGATGGGCATAGTTGTGGGTGACTGTAATCCCAGCTACTCAGGAGGCAGAGGCATGAGAATTGCTTGAACCCGGGAAGGGGAGCTTGCAGTGAGCCGAGAACGCGCCGTGCACTCCAGCACTCACTCCAGCCTGAGCAACAAAGCGAGACCCTATCTCAAAAAAACAAAAACCTCTTCACTTTAAATTAAAAACTTTTAACCAGGGGTAAAAGTAAAATGTGCAGACACAAGCTGTCACAATTTATTTTGTCTACGTTCCTAGATACCAGTATTTGACATTAAATGTTGCCCACCACACACGTTTAAATCTAGAATTTACAAGGTTATATTTTCTAGTGCTGATAAAGTATTTATACAGTAGCTGGGAAGTTTTTTCATTCATTTTTATTTTAAAAGCAGTGTAAGTTCATGATTTAAAAAAAAAAAAAAGTCAAACAGAACAGAAAAGCATATACTGAAGTACAAAAGTCTGACCCTAAAACCCACTGCTTATTTCAATTCCCCAGAGGTAATTGCTGTGGTTAAAATCATCAGATCTTTATTCCAGGGTTTTTCTATGCAGTCACATGCAACTACCACTTACTGTTTTGTTTTTATAAAAATGGGGCCATACTATACATTACTGTTTTGTAACTGCTTTTTCCAGTATCTTTCCACATACAGGTTTTCACGGCTGTCTGATATTCTACCTATGAGAGATGCATGAAGAAATTTTAACTACTCTCCTATTCTTGGACATTTAGGAGAAATATCCAAGAAATAACAATAGTCCACACAATGATATAATGAATACACATCTTCACATACAACATCCCCACTAGAATGTAAGTTCTATGCCTGCTTTGCCCTCTAATAAACTTAGAGCAGCACATGACACACTGGGTGCCCAATAAACATTCACCAGATGACTATATGTATATACGTATCTATACATGTATTTAAAATTTCTTTGTAGATCGACCAATCGCCTTCCAAAAGGATTGTTTCACTGTATATTCCTATCTGTGGCTTTTAAATTTTGTTTTGTTTCGATCAGCTGGTGAGGTCATCTGATCAAACGGCCTTAACACAATGCAAATTCATCATCTTCCAGTTTTGGGGTAAGAAGTCCAAAAGGGGCCAGCAGAGCTGCAGTCCTCCTGGGAGCTCTCCGAGAGAATCCATTTCCTCGCCTGTTTCCCCTGGTAAGGGCTGCATTCCTTGGTGCAGTGCCCCTTCCACATCACTCTGACCTCGGCTTCCCGTCTCATCTCTGAATCGAACCCTCCTACCTGTCTCTCTCTCTCTCTTCTTTTTTTTTTTTGAGATAGAGTGTCACTCTGTCACCCAGGCAGGAGTACAGTGGTGTGATGTCAGCTCACTGCGACCTCGGCCTCCCTAATTCAAGTGATTCTTCTGCCTCAGCCTCCCGGGTATCTGGGATTATAAGCACATGCCACCACACCCGGCTAAATTTTTGTATTTTTAGTAGATACGGGGTATCACATGTTAGCCAGGATGGTCTCAATTTCCTGGCCTTGTGATCTGCCCTCCTCGGCCTCTCAAAGTGCTGGGATTACAGGCGTGAGCCACCATACCTGGCCCCCCTCTCTTTCTCTTATAAGCACATTTGTGCTACATTGAGCCCACCTGGAGAATCAATATAATGTCCTCATCTCCAGAACCTGAACATAATCACATCTGCAAATCCGCCTTTGCCACGTAAGATAACAGACCAGCTCCAGGGATTAGGATGTGAACCTCTTTGGGAAGCTGATATTCTGCCTACCACAGCTTGAGAATCAGGTTTGAATTTCAGCCTTGTCATTTCAATCTTCATTTCCTAAATATGTGTTGAGTACCTCCCTACCACATCCTGAAATCGATCTAAGAAATACTCTAGCTCCCGCGGCCTTGCCCAAGTTATATAACCTCCCTGTACCTCCATTTTTCTCAGCTGCAAAACTGAAGAGATTAATATCTGCCCCGCAGGAAACGCCGTATGTAAAATGTCTGCAGGCATCCCTTTTCACTTAAACAGCATTCAGGAATTAGATGCTATTTTCATCTTGACAAAATGTAAGGAAAATACCGGATTAAGCAGTAAAGAGGTAGAGAAACGGATCCGCTTTGAAACGGCTGCTGTGAATGTGAATTGGTATAGGCTCTCTAGAGGGCAGCGTGGCAAAATGCATGTAATAAAAAGCCTTACAAGTGTTTTTCTCTTTGTCCCAGTAATTATTCATTTCTACACGTGTATCTGAAGGCCATGGTTGAATTTACATACAAAGATATTTAGTGAGATATTATTTGTAATACCGGAGGGGAAAAAGCAGAAACAAACTAAACATCCTCTAATAAGCAATTAGATAAATAAATACACCCACATTGTGGAAATCTCATCAGCCATATAAAAGGAGTTTGTAAAATAATACAAAACATCATGTTCAGAGGTTTGCCAAATGTTAATGACAAAGTTGGGGGTTTAAGTCAGGGATATTAATTACGTCATACCGGTAAAAGGACTCTGTGTGATGAGAGAATGTGTGTACAAGACAGGAAAAGGACTAAATGAAATAGATTTCATGATATTAACAGTGGTTATTTCCACGTAATCAAGTGATTTTCATTCTACTTTTATTTTCTATTTTCTAATCATAAAGGTGGGAGGTTCTATAGAAAACCATTCCTCTACTAGTTCAATGATCAGGCATTTCTAGGTACAGAGCAAACACTGCGGAGGTGTCCCTCTAGTGGAAGGAGAGATTTTTTGAAATAGTTTATTGTACCTAAGTCTTTTGGAGGCAAACAGGGATCTGAAGTTAGTAAATGATTCTGCTTATTCCACAGGCACTGCACTCCAGCCTGGGCAACATATCAACACTCTGCCTCGAAAAAAAAAAAACTAAAAGAGGGATGGGGACCAATTGCAAAAGGAAGGTCCACAAACCACCCTAGGAAACAGGTGGTACTAACTATAGGCGCATTTGGAATATTGGCCATTAACTTTTTCAACTGTCCACGTCAGGGCATTAAGCTCCTTAGGCTAACTTTCTCTCTCCTTCCTTTTTGTCAGCTCGCGTTCGTTCTAGGTCTGGGGTACCAGGTGATGTGGAACCTCAAAAGAGACGTGGATGGAGCGTGATCTCTGCACGTTACACTGATAGGGGCCGCAAGCCTCTCCAGGTGACTCTACGAACCTTCGGCTCTACTCGTCTTCTCTTCGGCTGAGTTCGGCCGAAGCTTGCCTTCTCAGGCTCGGCTGTCTTCGGCTTTCTGAGAGCAAGCTCGTCCTGGCCTCGGCTCCTCTTCGGCTGCATTCGCCCCACGATCGTCTCAGTCTCGGCTCTCCACGGCTGCGTTCGACTATATTTCGTTGTCTCGGACTCGGCTGTCTTCGGTTAAGTTCGGCCAACTCTCGTCTCGGACTCGGCTACGCCCCGGAAGAGCCTCCATGGAGCCGGTACTGCCGGCTCGACCGACGGCCATGGCGCCGCTGCTGGAGTACGAACGGCAGCTGGTGCTGGAACTGCTCGACACTGACGGGCTGGTAGTGTGCGCCCGCGGGCTCGGCGCGGACCGGCTCCTCTACCACTTTCTCCGGCTGCACTGCCACCCAGCCTGCCTGGTGCTGGTGCTCAACACGCAGTCGGCCGAGGAGGTGCGGCCACGCTGGCGCGGGAGCGAGGGGACCCCGAGAATGCTGGGGGGCATCCTGAGCGGATGCGAGGCCTCTGACAGGGATGGAGAGGCTCTGAAGGGGATTCAGGTCCCCGACACTACGCGATGACACAGAGAAGGATGGGAGGGGTCCCCAGGGGGATGCAGGTCCCTCACACTGCGGAGACACAGACGTATGGGAGGGGTCGCGAGGAGTGTACCGGTCGCGCACACTGTGCGGGGACACAGAAGAATAGGAGGAGCCCCGAGAAGGCTGCACGTCCCCCTGGCAGGAACTCAAGAACGCTGAGAGGAATGCAAGGCGGGTGAGGGATGCAAGTGCCTGATAGCGTGCTGGGACTCTGGGAGGGCTGGGAGGGGTCCCGAGAAGGATGCAAGTCTTTGACCAGAGTTCAAGAATGCCAAGAGAAATGGGAGGGGTCCCTGATAACTTGCAGGCGCAGTCAGACTGATGGAAGGGGAAGATGCCCCCACGGTGGTCTCAGTCTCGGCTATGTTCGGCTAGCTAGAGGAGGAGGCAAGTCCCTGACAACGCTAAGAGGGATGGGAAGGGTCCCCAGAAGGATACAGGTCCCTGATAGGAGTGCAAGGGCACTGAAGGGTGGAGGGGCTCTGAGCAGTAGAAGACGATCGGAGGTCCCTGAAGGTTAAGGGGAGATGTCGAAAGCAGGATCTGGATAGGATAACGGGAGAGTCCTTAGGTTGGCTATCAAGGGAGTTTCTGGGGGCAGAAGGGTGGTTCCTGAAAGGGAGCAGTGGCGGGAATCGAAGAGTCTCTGAGGGTGATGGGAAGACACGAAAGGAGATGATGAGACTGGAAAGAAACCAACAGGGAAGAGGAGGGGCCAGGAAATAGGGCATTCACCAAGGCTGTGTTAAAAAGGCCATAGGGTCAGAAAGGGATCGGAGCTGGAAGCTGAGGATGTTGGCAAAGGTTAACTGCAATATTGGAGCATGGAAAACACTCAGGAAGGTGAAATGGGGCTACACCTGGGGCTGGCGGTTGTTGAGAGGGGACACAGCTTGGACTGACTAGTCTGATGATCCCCTAGATAGATCAGATTGCCAGGAGAAAAATGTCAGCTGAGAAGAGTGACCACAATCTCTCTGAGGGCAGGGACCCTGTTTGATTCATCTAGGTATCCCCAGTGTTTGGTGTAGGGCCTAAGGCAACACACCATGCCTTGTAAAGGTGGTTTTGAACTGAAGATGTAAATAAACCAAGCCAAGGAACCCACTGACATGAAGTCCCTCTAGGATGGATCAGGACGGAACTAATAGTCTAAAACATTGTCTGGGAAAGGATTCTCTTGTTATCTTCTCGTACAGTGCACTTGGCTACAAATCTGGCTTTGGTGGGAGGTATTTTCTAGGTAGTAGAAATCTTTTAATCCAGGCTTCTAAAAGTTTGAGGTTTTGTGTGTGTGTGCATATGTTATTGTAGTTGAGTGGTGAGAATGACAGAAGTACAATTATTCCTTAGTGTAAACCCCAAAACAAGAAAACCTCATTAAGTGTAGACTGGTTGGTCGAAGTTACTATAAAGAAGTAACAGGGCTGGGTGCTGTGGCTCACGCCTTTAATCCCAGCACTTTGGGAGGTCGAGGCAGGTGGATCACGAGGTCAGGAGATCAAGACCGTTCTGGCTAACACAGTGAAACTCCATCTCTACTAAAAATACAAAAAAATTAGCTGGGCGTGGTGGCATGTGCCTGTAGTCCCAGCTACTTGGGAATTGATTGAACACGGAAAGCGGAGGTTGCAGTGAGCCAAGATCATGCCATTGCACTCCAGCCGAGGCAACAGAGCAAGACTCCATCTCAAAAAAAAAAAAAAAAAAAAAAAAAAGAAGTAAGTTAGTTTGTATATTTGTTATTAAGTTCATTATCTCAGAGAAAGACAGTACATAATTTTAAATATCTACAACCTATTAAAAACTGCCCTATATTAAATAGCTTACTAATCAAGTTTGATTTGATTTAGGAGTATTTTATCAATCAGCTGAAGATAGAAGGAGTTGAACACCTCCCTCGCCGTGTAACAAATGAAATTACAAGCACCAGTCGCTATGAAGTTTACACACAAGGTGGTGTTATATTTGCAACAAGTAGGATACTTGTGGTTGACTTCTTGACGGATAGAATACCTTCAGACTTAATTACTGGTAAGAATTGAAATCTTATTCTTTGTATGTAAATTTGTACCTTTTTTTAAAGTACAATTTCCATTTTATTTCTCTCCAGAAGATAGTCTTGTCTTCAGTCTTGAAGGACTCTGCTCCTTATATGGGCTTTGGTGGGGGTTGTGGGGCAGCACCCCCAGGTCTACATTGGGGTGGGGGTGTTCGGTCCTTGAAGGGCTTCACGAGATTGATTCATGACTACTTTACTGTGAATTGCACAGCTCACACAGTAATGTAGCCTCACATACAGCTTGGGAAGCACATAGGCATTGAAGATGCTCGCTTCAGAAACGTCCCTTACTGCCGCAACCTCCAGTGTGTTTCGAATGACGAATTTCTTAATGACCTTGTCCTTGGGCGTGAATTGGGCACAGTTTGTGCAGTGAATAGGCTGCAGGTGGCTGTGGCCTTTTTGGCACAACTGTCATTCCTTCTTTTCTTTGTCATCTTGGAGGGATGGACTGGAGAGAGTCAATTTGTATATTTTTATTTTTGTCCCCTCTGCTAAATGCTCTACTAGAACCTTCTAGTGGGCACCACTGGATCCTTTTGCCCAACATTGCATTTCCAACTTTTAGCATGATACCTGACATAGTAGATGCTCGATAAATACCTGTGACCTGAATAAGTAACTAAATGTAAGATGGACTTTTCCTTATTTTCTAAGCTCTTATTCAGTAAATACTTGTAATTCATTAGCATTTCCTTTTAGAACTTAATCAGATTTTAGATGTTCATAATCTTTGTATATATCGTAAAATATTTATTTTCCTCTTTAAGATTTTTTTGGCATTATTTGAAATTAAATCAAGTAGTTGCTTGCTTATTTAGAGGAAAAATGATTGTAGCTAGAATTAAATAGAAAAGAGATTCATTTTCATTATCCTTTCAAAAATGTTTTCTGATGTCCCCAAAGCTAATGCAGGGGTGGTGCCTCTGTACCCTCCTATTACACTGTATTTCTCCCCAGTCATAGTGCTCACGACACTACATTATATTTGTGTGTTTGTCTCACTCACAAGATAAGCATAAGCACAAGGAAGAACCTGTTCATCCCAGGCTAAATTAACTGGTACATGGTAGGTACTCAAGACATATTTGTTGGATGAATGATGAATGGATACAGCACTGTGATCTTTAGTGAACTTTGGAGGCAGAGAGACTATGAAATTCATAATCTTACTTCCCACCCTATCTGTCATATTGCCCTGACCCTAGATGACCCTCCAGAAATATCTGATGAATCGATGTATGAATGAATGCTTCGTATAATTCACAGTAAAAGGATTGAAGAAGATTGGTTACTCTTTTATAACATTTGTAATTGTTAGAAACAGTATCATCGGCTCACCTGATTTTGAATTGCTAACATCCTGCTTATAAAACAAGCTCCTCAATTGTCATTAACCCTAGTTTTCTCATTTCTTAGGAAAACAGTGCCTCCTAAAGTTATAAGGATTAAGTGAAATAAAATAATTGCTTAGTACAGTGTCTGGTGCACAGCAAACTCTTAGTTATTGGTACCAAATAAAGTTAGCTTTTTATAACCAGAAATCTTGATACATCATAAAGTCTTTTACTGTTTGATGCTTTCTTATAAGCTTGGTTTTACTGTATTTTTTAAATTTTTATTTTAATTGTGTTGTATTTGAAACGACCACTAGGTGCCAGTAATGTTCTGTGACTTTCAGTTACAGTGCACCCTAATTAAGCAGAGAGTAGAGGAACCTGAATCTATGCAGTGTTGAAGTCTAGCTTCTCGGGAGCTCCTAATTTAAAATGCCAGATTCCCTCCTCCTTTCTAATAAGAGCCGAGCCAATAATGAAGCTCGAGCTGTTACTGATGCTTGGCTGAGTGGAATGTAAATGAATGCCAAAAATGAACCCCTTCAAATTCTTTCCTCCCCTGGGATCATCACCCAGGACTGACCAAAGGGCAGTCCATGAAGTACAGGTGGAAAGGCTGAATCCTCCAGCCCTAACTTCTTCACCTGTCACCGCCCATTATTACCCCCACAGCCTACTCTGGGAGTCTCTGCTAACCAGAACTCCTAACATGTGCGAGAACTGTGTAAATATCATATCTGGTGAGATTAGACTTTGAAAAGAACAGGATAGGAGGACGCTTTCATTGCCAAAACTGATTCCGACATCTCCAGACAGACCTAAGAACACACTTTCTGCAAAATATATGTGTGTTTTTCAGTTCCATGTTCCATTTGTGTACCCAGTGCTGTGCCCCCACTTTATATTCATTCAATAAATATTTAGCTCACTAAGGGTCCCTTGTTTGGCGGGAAGGATTCTGAAGGTAGGTGAATGGGACAGTATGGTGAACTCATGAGTTAAGTTAGACTGCTTCTGGATTTGAGTTATCGTCATCTTACACCAGCTGTGTATCCTTAGACAAGTTTCTTAATTCTTTCTCCCTTTTTTTTTTTTTTTGAGACTGAGTCTTGCTCTGTCGCCAGGCTAGAGTGCAGTGGTGCAATCTCAGCTCACTGCAAACTCCAGCTCCACGGCTCAAGCCATTCTTCTGCCTCAGTCTCCTGAGTAGCTGGGAGGAGAGATGTGCACCACCATGCCCAGCTGATTTTTGTATTTTTAGTAGAGGTGGGGTTTTGCCATGTTGGCCAGGATGGTCTTGGTCTTTTGACCTCATAATCTGCCTGCTTCGGCCTCCCAAGTACTGTGATTACAGGCATGAGCCATGGCGCCTGGCTAGTTTCTTAATTTCTCTGTGCCTCAGCTTATCACCTGTACGTTGACGGTAAAGATAGTACCTTACTCCTGGGATTGTCAGGGTGAAATGAAATGCTATATGTAAAATACTTGGTGTTACAGCACATAGTAAGCATTCTGTGATCTCTGCCTGTTGGTGTTACAATGTTCCTGTTCTCAGGCAGTTTAGTGGAAGAGACAGATAAGTAAAGAAGTGTAATTATAGTACGGTATGAGGTACAAAATGTCACAGGAACAAAAAAAAATAAAAGGAGGCTTTTGTGGGACTAAAACTCCTCCCATAAACCTAACCTGCTTATATCATTTTTATTTTTAATTTTTTGATAAAGTGGGGGGGGCCTTTAACCCAGTTAGGTGTTAAATTGAGTTTCTCCTTTTTTTTTAATTATTATTATATTTTAAGTTCTGGGGTACCTGTGCAGATCATGCAGGATTGTTGCATAGGTATACACATGCCGTGGTGGTTTGCTGCGTCCATCCCCCCGTCATCTACATGAGGTGTTTCTCCTAATGTTATCCTTCTTCAGTCCCCCGACTCCCTGCTATCCCTCTCCTAGCTCTCCCCTTCCCCCAACAGGCCCCAGTGTGTGATGTTTCCCTCCCTGTGTCCATGTGTTCTCATTGTTCAACACCCGCCTATGAGTGAGAACATGCAGTGTTTGGTTTCCTGTTCTTGTGTCAGTTTGCTGTGAATAATGGTTTCCAGCTTCATCCACGTACCTGCAAAGGACATGAACTCATCCTTTTTTATGGCTGCATAGTATTCCATGGTGTATCTTTCTCCTTTTCTTTAGAAGTTCATTTTTATTATTCTTGACTTCATGTAATATTTCAATGCAGGCTAACAAAATATGGCCTCTTAGAGTCCTTGGGAAAACCCACCAACTAGGTACAGTGCATTTTTTGAGTCGTAAATTAGTTATGTACATGTACTGGAGCATTATTGAAAATGCTTTGTCTATAAATTCCTAAATAACACTATTAATTTTTACCGTATTTGAAAAATAATTTGCTGAGCTAGAGTAAAATTCAGTTCCATCCATCTCTACCTAAAATTTAAACATTAAAATAGTAAAATATGAATTTAGTTTATTGAACTATTAGAAGGGTCATAAATCACTGATAGTATCATTTTCCAGACCCATCCAAATCTGAGTACTGGATCAAAAGCATACACGTACATTTTCCTTAGTATATGTCAGGTAACCAGCTTGATTTAGGTCTAAAAGACTGAGACTCATGATGGAGTAATTGAAGTTTTGATCTAGAAATGATGTCTATATGCCTTTATGTCATCTTATGTTTCTCCCTAACTTACTACTCATCACACTGCATCAGATGACACGATATATACGAAAGAGCTGGGTCAGCAGTCTCATTTCATAAATAAGGAAATATGTATAATTGTTCTTATTTTTTAGATTCTGAGTTGTTATAATCACACACACCCCAAAAACATGTATTAAGTATGTCGATTAAAGGTTATTGTTTTAGATGTACTAATTTACCTCTGAATTGACTATATTCTGATTCTGAAAATTGAATTCATCTAATACCTGATGTAGATGTTGCCCAGACTTCTAAAATACGGCTATTTTGTGTAGTCCACATCTGATTCTCATATATTAAAAAAAAATCGTGTCTTACTTTGCTTTCAGAAATTCTTCCTCTAACATGCCAGAAACACCCCACCCCAGGACCTGTGCCCTTATTGTCCCCTCAGCCTTGCAGGCTGGAACTCAGATGGTCACAGGGTTAGGGTTAGGGGGTCACAGGGCTCGTCTTTATCAGATATCACCTTTACTCAGATATCACCTTGGCGAGGCCATCCCTCATACATCCTCCCTCTCCTTCTCTGATTCATTTTTTCTCCTCAGCACTTGTAACATACGAAGTATTTTACTCATTTATATTGTTTGTCATCAATTCCTTGAGGACAGGGATTTATGTCTGTTCTGTTCGTGGCTGTATCCCCAGTCTAGAATGGTGCTTGTTCATTTCATGTTAAGTACTTAAGAAAAATGTGATGAATGAATAGAAATGAGCATAAAAAGTACTTACCTGTTCTGTAATTTAAATTGTCTTTCTCCCTCTTAGGCATCTTGGTGTACAGAGCCCACAGAATAATCGAATCTTGCCAAGAAGCATTCATCTTGCGCCTCTTTCGCCAGAAAAACAAACGTGGTTTTATTAAAGCTTTCACGGACAATGCTGTTGCCTTTGATACTGGTTTTTGTCATGTGGAAAGAGTGATGAGAAATCTTTTTGTGAGGAAGCTGTATCTGTGGCCACGGTAAAGAACATTATGTGACAATCATTATTTGTCACGTAATGATGACATTATTTGTCGTCTTTTTTGTGAGAGCTACTGTAACTTAGTTGCACTTTGATGTAATATAATATAAAATTCATTGCAATTTTATTTGATAGGACCTAGTCAGGTTTATAACAAACACATCTAGATATAAATATGTATTTACCAAGTTTGTGATTTTTTTTTTTTCAGTAGAGAGCAATTCGATAGTTACTTTTCTGCTGGTCCATCAAATCCATCCAAGACAGCCACTTTTTATTCTTTCTTATACTTTTAGTGAAACTCCCAGGAATCTAGAGACCCACATATACAACAGCTTTAGGCGTACTGCAGATTTATTGGCTAAGAGTACCACTTCTGCTTTGAAAATTACTCATTAGGGAAATAAAGCACAAAGATTTTGAAGAAGTTATGTTAATTTCTAGGAAAAACATTTTGCAACCTATGCTACCATGTATTTTGGTTATTCTACATGTTATTTTAAGAGTAGTTACAGGCCGGGCGCAGTGGCTCACACCTGTAATCCCAACACTTTGGGAGGCCGAGGCAGGCAGATCACCTAAGGTCAGGAGTTTGAGACAGGCCTGGTCAACATGGTGAAACCCCATCTCTACTTAAAAATACAAAAATTAGCTGGGTGTGGTGGCACACACCTATAGTCCCAGCTACTCAGGAGGCTGAGGCAGGAGAATCACCTGAACCCAGGAGGCAGAAGTTGCAGTGAGCTGAGATCGCACCGCTGCACTCCAGCCTGGGTGACGAGAGCAAAACTTTGTCTCCAAAAAAAAAAAAAAAAAAGAGTAGTTGTAGTATTTTTTCTGTTCTTGATCATACCTTGTTTTAGGAGTCAACAAATTCTTTATGTAAATGGCCAGGTAGTAAATATTTTGGGCTTTGTAGGCCATATAGTCACAATTACTTGATTCTGTTATTCCTGAAGCAGACTGCTTGCACAATGGGTGTGACTGCATTCGAATGAGACTTTAAAAGCAGGTAGAGGATTTGGCCCAGACTGTAGTTTGCTGACTGTTGCCTTTTTTGAGTAATACAGTGCTTTCATTCATTGATGTTCAAAATTTTTGAAAGCATTGTTTAGCTTTTCATTTATTTGTTGTTTTGCTTTTTGTGTTTGTAGCATTTGTAAAAACTGTTAACTGTTAAGGATATTAAACCAAGACAAGAAATACATAGCTGCGGAAACTCTTGAAAATTGTTGAAACATATTTGTCTCTTTAGGTTCCACGTAGCAGTAAACTCATTTTTAGAGCAGCACAAACCTGAAGTTGTAGAAATTCATGTTTCTATGACACCTGCCATGCTTGCTATACAGACTGCTATTCTGGACATTTTAAATGCGTGTCTAAAGGAACTAAAATGCCATAACCCGTCTCTTGAAGTGGAAGACTTATCTTTAGAAAATGCTATTGGAAAACCTTTTGACAAGGTACTCTTTTTCCTTTTAAGCACAGTTTATTATGTTGTAATTTTAAAGAATGCAAGTTATTTTAATAATTTGCAATGTTGTTAATAGGAGTTTGCTGTTATTTTAGAATTAAATTGGAGGTCATTTAAAACATAGCTTCTTTGGTTTACTGAAAAGTAATAATTTATAGTAAAATATGTGGATTGGCATATAAGCATCACTCTGACTGTTGCAGTTATATAGTAAGTGATTATCTCAAGTATAATCAAGAAGAAAATAAATAACTTTTTTTACTTTGAAATGACAACATTTGGATATCTACAGGTAGAAGAGTTTTACATAAGAGTACTTCATAATTGTATATGAATTTATTATCTCTTATGGAATAGAAAATAATTTGGATGAATTTTCATTACTCAGGAGTATGAAACTTGCTCTGTCTTAAAATTACATTCTGAATTGAGGAAATGGTAAGACTTCAGTTCCAGGACTTTTTATTCTAATTTTTATAGATTAATATTGCAGATATATAAATGTCTACTTTTTCATTACAGATTAATCTTATTACAGATACATAAATGTCTAGTATGGAATTGGAGACCCAGAAAATGCTGACTTTTTAGAAATTCTTGGCAGCTTTTTTGTCATATTCTGATAGAAAGTTCCTGTCTTTTAAACTCTGAATCAGTTTCTGTGTCACTGAAAATAATTCATGGTGGTTATAAAAAGGAAAAATTTAACTTCTTATGTCTCTGGTTCTTCAGAAAACTCAGTTTACTCTGAAATTTTGAGACATAAAACTAATTTTATATATTCTGTTCCTCTATGCTTTAAGTTTTTTATAATTTAGCCCATGGTGTTTTTTTTAAATCTCTCACAATCTTTTAATAGTATGTATATATCCCTAGAAAAATAAACTGTAGCCTAGTGTATTTCTGTTGAAAATTTATTTATTATCCGCCTGGTTAGTAACAGTCATTGCATTGTTTTAGATATTCTTTTAGTAACCATATCTGAATATAGCTATAGTGTGTGTCTTGTTAAAGTTTTTAATGTTTCATAGATGATTTTACAAAACAGGCATGTAGTTATACAGCCCAGTTTGTTCAGGACAGTCCCAGTATCTACCTGTTGTCCTAGAGTGATTATTAAACAGTGTTATCATTTCCTTTCCACAGGTGTCCTAGTTTAGACAGTAAACTATACAGTCATTCAGATACTCCTCCTACTCATTATTAAATTTGTTAGATAAGATTCCATGCAATGGTACTGCTTTTATATCAGGCTACAAATATCTGATTAAAAAATCAGATATAATTCTGTACTTAAAGTTACAGAATCAGTCTGTGAAGGAAACATACCTGTACATAGCTGTGGATGTGTAGGTACCTACAGAGTGTGTACATCAGGTGTTCCCAAACTACGGCCCGTGGGCCGCATGCGGCCCCCTGAGGCCATTTATCCGCCCCCCCCGCCGCACTTCAGGAAGGGGCACCTCTTTCATTGGTGGTCAGTGAGAGGAGCACATTATGTGGCGGCCCTCCAATGGTCTGAGGGACAGTGAACTGGCCCCCTGTGTAAAAAGTTTGGGGATGCCTGGTGTACATAAAGCTGTTCTTTGTTTTAGACCACTTTTTGGAGTCTTAAAAAATAATCAAACTTAGTCCATTGTTATTTAACAAATATTTTCCACTTTAGAAAAAACAAATTAAGGGACGTTGTTATTTAATTTGGTAATTGTTATTTCATTTGTACGTGAGCATCAAATTAAATTTTTCATTTTTTGGTTATACCTTATTTTAGAGGTCAAAAAACTTGATACTCATGTACAAATGAAAGACCAATGCACCTCAATTTGTTAGTAAACCATCATGCTTGGTTTATGCCCTCTGCTTGGTCTGTTTGGATCCCATATCTTTATCCATCCAGGATAGTCAGAGTCAAACTTGGCAGGAATTGAACATTTCTGAGCTACATGCTTAGACTCTGTTCATACAAACAGATAATTGATTATCTGATGTTTATCAGGTGTTTTCTCTCCAGAGAGTAATCTATGTTTGGATAATGATAGATTGACTCTATCTGATCATAGAGATTCTAGCAGTAAGACAGTCTTCTATATTTGAAATTTTAAACATTATTATTAGAATTTTATTAATTGAAATGTTCTAGCCACTTCCTTGAATAATGTTTGGGTTTTTTATTGCAGTAAAAGATATATGACATAAAATTTACCGTTTTAGACATTTTTAGATACATAGGAAATAATCCTTTTGAAAGTACAATTTGTATTAAGAATAACTATACTGAACATATTTTAGCAATGCAAAATTTTATTCTAATTTTAGACAATTCGCCATTATCTGGATCCTTTGTGGCACCAGCTTGGAGCCAAGACTAAATCCTTAGTTCAGGATTTGAAGATATTACGAACTTTGCTGCAGTATCTCTCTCAGTATGATTGTGTCACATTTCTTAATCTTCTGGAATCTCTGAGAGCAACGGAAAAAGCTTTTGGTCAGAATTCAGGTGGGAGATTAAAATACTAATAATACTCTAAGAGCTGATTTGAATGAAGTGTTAGGTTTTAGGGGAAATCAGGTGTGAAAAGTGCTATATTCAACTATATATTATACTGAGATTTCAAATTATGTTTTATGTTCATAGCACAAGGATGTAGGTTTTATTGATAGCTAATGTTTCCGCCTACTTAACTTCTGTTCTGTATAATAATAAATATTCATATCTGTTCTGGGCAATTTTATTTCTAGAAAAGACTGTGTGTAGTACAGGCAGTCCTCAACTTAGAAATAGGTTGTGTTCTGGAAGTTTAGTTGTTAAGAGCTTAAAATTCATTTTCCTCAAAGCAAAAGCAAGGGAGTATGGGGTTTCATCAGCTAGAATGTCAAAGACTGAAGAACAGAAGAGATTTGTAGGGAAATAGACGTATACAGCTGGCCACCATCTTGTTTTCTTACCACTGTTGTGGCCTCTGTCAGTGTTTGACTGGACCAGTGGTTTTCAGAGTGTGGTTCATGGACCCCTGGAGTCAAGATTTAATAGAGTTAATAATTTGTATGCCCCTTTAGGGACATTCCTAAGTGATGAACTGCAGAAGCATGACGGTAAAGAATGCACTGGCTACCAGTACACTTCCCTGGCACTGCGTTGGTTCACACTAAGGCACCGGCAATATTACCCAGCATTGCTTTCACACCATCACCGGAAATGTCAACACGGTGAAAAAAGTCAAATAACATCATAGTATTATCACGAGAAAAGTTTTGACATTACAGACCCCCTGAAAACATCTTGGGGACCCCCAGGAGTTCATGGACTACACATAGAAAACCACCACTGCTCTAGCCGAACAGTGACAGAGATCACAGTAGTGGGAGGAGGTGTGACTGGTAGGAAAACAGGATGACAGCCGGTTATATATGTGGGTCATGTGACCGTCAGAGACTATTTTAACCATAAATTGAAGGCACTTTTTTTGTTTTTTACTTTTCATATTAGGTTGGCTGTTTCTTGACTCCAGCACCTCGATGTTTGTAAATGCTCGAGCAAGGGTTTATCATCTTCCAGATGCCAAAATCAGTAAGAAAGGCAAAATTTCTGAAAAAATGGAAATTAAAGAAGGGCAAGGTATCTTGTAAAATCTTTAAATGTGTTTTTTTTTATTTAAGTATTTTGTGTGGAAATGCTTATCAATTTAAAGTCACCTTTGGCCATGTGAAAAGTGTGTTCCTTTATGGTAAATGTATGTATGTTTGTTATATGTAACGTGTAAGGTATGCCAAAAGTATACAGCATGGAAAGTTTTGGAATCTATTGCCCAGGGGTTCCAAATAGCAAATGCCAAATATCGATCAAAAGCATGCTACATAAAGAACTATATGTTGATTTTTTTTAAAACTTCTAAGTAATTATTATTTTTGAGTCAGAACGAGGTTGGGGCGTGGTTGCATACACCTATTATCCCAGCACTTTGGGAGGCCAAGGTAGGAGGATTGCTTGAGCCCAGTTCAAGTCCAGCCTGGGCAACAAAGCAAGACTCCATCTCTACAAAAACTTTTTAGAGGCTGGGCACAGTGGATCACGCCTGCAATCCCAGCACTTTGGGAGGCTGAAGTGGGTGGATCACATGAGGTCAGGAGTTCCAGACTAGCATGACCAACGTGGTGAAACCCCGTCTCTACTAAAAATACAAAAAATTGGCCGGGTGTGGTGGCGGGTGCCTGTAATCTCAGCTACCCAGGAGGCTGAGGCAGGAGAAGCGCTTGAATCCAGGGGGCAGAAGTTGCAGTGAGCTGAGATCACACCACTGCACTCCAGCCTGGGCAATAGAGTGACTCTTTGTCTCAAAAAAAAAAAAAAAATTTTTTTTTTTAAATGAGCCCAGTGAGGTGATGTGCACTTAACATCCTAGCTACTTGAGGGGCTAAGGTGGAGGATCCCTTGAGCCCAAGAGTTCAAGGTTGCACCAAGATATGATCACACCACTGTACTCCAGCCTAGGTGACAGACTAAGACTATGTCTCAAAAATAAAGTCAGGGTGGAATATTTTTAATATATTTTTAAATTGTTAAGTATCATAAATATACTAGAACCAGGCACATAATGGGTTTTACTCTAGCATCTATCTAGTAGTATCATAAATATCACTAGTTTTTTTTAAGGCATGGGATAGGGTTTATGCCTGCTTTCTGCCTAGTTTAAAGGTCTGTTTTAAAACTTAATTGAAGCCAAGCGCAGTGGTTCATGCCTGTAATTTCAGCACTTTGGGAGGCTGAGGCGGGTGGATCACATGAGGTCAGAAGTTCCAGACCAGCATGACCAACGTGGTGAAACCCCGTCTCTACTAAAAATAGAAAATTAGGCAGGAGTGGGGCACATCCCTATAATCCCGGCGACTTGGGAGGCTGAGGCAGGAGAATCGCTTGAACCCAGGAGGTGGAGGTTGCAGTGAGCCAAGATCGTGCCATTGCCTCCAGCCTAGGCAGCAAGAGTGAAACTTAGCCTCAAAAAATAAACAATTGTTTTTAAAGAAAACTTAATCTATTGTTGATGTGTTACTGCTTGGATGCTTATAGAAACAAAAATTTTAATTGTTGTCTATTTTTATCTGTGTTCAGGGTTATGAAGGTCATGGGGATTTTAGAAATAATAAATACTGTCATTCTTTGCTGATGCCTTTATTTTGTATAGCTGCTTATATATAGTGTCACAGAAACTACTAACACAGAATGGTCTCTCATGAGTGACATGCATATAACCTTCTACAAAGGCATTTTGAAACCCATATTAATGGTTTCAAGTATCTTTCATTTTCACCTTAAGTAGATCTTTTACTGGAAAGCAGATTCCATCTAACAGTATAAAGAAAGCTTAAAGAAATGGGCGTATGGACTGATGCTCATGTTATCTGTTGTTTTAAAGCCTTTGGAAGACTTTATGGGTAAATATTAGCACATAGAATGAGATATTTTTATTTCTCTACAGAAACAAAAAAGGAACTGGTCCTAGAAAGCAACCCAAAGTGGGAGGCACTGACTGAAGTATTGAAGGAAATTGAGGCAGAAAATCAGGAGAGTGAAGCCCTTGGTGGCCCAGGTAGGAAAAAAGGAGATGAAAACATTTGCTTTCAAAATCTATCAAATGAGTCCTGATTTAATTAGCTCTTTAACAGTAACTTGCTATTTTATCTATAAAATGTAGACAAATAAATGGCAAGTGAACACTGAGAACCTAGTGGCAACCTCATTTCTGTTCATTTGATGTAATTTTCTCCAGGTTGAATCACTGTATATTCATGAAAGCTGGTTTTTTCACTCGTTGGGTTCTTAGGACTTCTATTTAAAGATTGAGTTAATCTCTACACGTATTCGCCAAGCTTTAAATCTGGAATCCCCAAGGAATAAACTAATGGGTCTCCTGTTTTATATCCTCAGCCAAGTATCTTTCCAAAGAAGCCTCAACTCTTCTATCACTTTAGGATGTAATGAGCTGATACAAACTGAAGACATTGTCTAAACTGGCAAAGGAGACTAAGACAATTCACAAAAGAAAAATCCATTTGGAATTAATTTAGGCACATAAAAGATCACCTGGAAAAGAATATATTAATTTAAAAGAACTTCTTTAAAGCCACCATTATACCACAGTAGTTCTTTCAAAAGATTAAATAGTCTGGCTTCAACTTTACTCAAAAGATTTAAGTCATCTTTTCAGAGAGGAGAAAGCATTTGATCAATACCTAAGACCCTTTTTAAATAGATTGTAGATTGTGGATCTTTAATACCACAGGGTAAGATGTCTACCCTTCAGGTGAAGGAATATGGGGGCACAGGGAAACTGGGAGGACACGCGAGGTAATAGTAACATAATGTTGTTTTCTGTTTTCAGGTCAAGTACTAATTTGTGCAAGTGATGACCGAACGTGTTCCCAGCTGAGAGACTATCTCACTCTTGGAGTGGAGGCCTTCTTATTGAGGCTCTACAGGAAAACTTTTGAGAAAGATAGCAAAGCCGAAGAAGTCTGGATGAAATTAAGGAAGGAAGACAGTTCAAAGAGAATTATGAAATCTCACAAAAGACCCAAAGACCCCCAAAACAAAGAACGGGCTTCTACCAAAGAAAGGACGCTCAAAAAGAAAAAACGAAAGTTGACCTTAACTCAAATGGTAGGAAAATCTGAAGAACTGGAAGAGGAAGGAGATGTCCAGGAAGGATGTCGTCAAGAAATAAGCAGTAGCCCAGAAACCTGCCTGGCAGAAATTAAGCATGAAGAATTTGATGTAAATTTGTCATCAGATGCTGTGTATGGAATCCTGAAAGAACCCCTCACTATCATCCATCCGCTTCTGGGTTGTAGCGACCCCTATGCTCTGACAAGGGTACTCCATGAAGTGGAGCCAAGATACGTGGTTCTTTATGATGCAGAGTTAACCTTTGTTCGTCAGCTTGAAATTTACAGGGCAAGCAGGCCCGGGAAACCTCTGAGGCAAGTTATAAAGAATCAGAGCTTGCAATTGCACTGTTCTTTAGGATTTAACCCAGAAACTATAGTAGTTGCATGTTAGTTTTCTTATCTTTAATATTCGTTATGATGCTGGTTATATTTATGAAACCTTACTTTGCTTCCTGATGAATCTGGGAAGTTGGATAGGAAGGATGCCAAGTGTTACAGCAGAACTGCAAACCAAGGGGACTGCTCGTGTTCTCACTATGTGCTGCTGTGCATTGTGTTCTTTATTCCTTAGGCATTGGTTTGAAGTTTATGGGGTGCTGTATCTGAAAAAGTCTAGGAAATGCATAATATTCTAATTTCTACCAAAAGTTAATGTAACTGTGACTTGGCTAAGTAATTTTAATCTTCTAAAATGTCTTTCTTATAAATTTTAAGAAACGACTCGAAATTACATCCACATAAAACTAAAGTGTTGGGGGAATTACCGTACCAGGTTTTCTTGAGTTTCAAGAAATACCAGATGAAACATCTACAGAAATATCAGATGAGAAAGTGGTGCCTCCCAAAGAAGATAGTGTTCTGGCTTTCCAATTATCTGAGGGGAAATAAACAGCAAAATTAATATCCTGAACTCAGTCTGAACCAAAAACAGAGCCAAAAGAAACCTACCCCTAGCATTTTAACTAACACAGCCTTTCAGAGTAGAGATGAATGGAGGAGCTGGATCAGAAATAATGCAGGATGAAGAGATTAGATGAGGCTGGTAAAATAATTATAGGCTGGTAAATTCTTCGTACTTTGCTGTTGATCAACTTTGTAGATAGCTTATGTACACCAAGCTTCTTTCTTGCCTGAGAACAGAATAGTGTGATATTTGGGAACAAAATGTCAGAATCAGAAGGGACCTGAGAGTTCAACCACTCATTCTATCAATGGGAAACTGAGGCCCAGAAATGGTGACTGACTTGTTCTTGGCCACATGGCACATCTGTGGGAGAGCTGAGCCTCTTGACTCATTACCCAAAGATCTTTTCTCTGTTTACACTTCAAAGAATTATCATCTAGGAAGATAACAGCTAAAAAATAACCATGGCTCAAAAAGAAAAATAGCTTTGATTGAAGATGAAGCAAACGGTGAAGGTTTGATTGAAGGTGAAGGCACTTAATTCAGCTCTCTTAGCAACATGCAAGATGGTAAAACAGGCCTTTCTTTTTTTACTTTTTTAAATTTGAGACTGAGTCTTGCCCTGATGCCCAGACTGGAGTGCAGTGGTGCAATCAGGGCCCACTGTAGCCTCAGCACCTCCCCCTTTCCCGGACTCAAGTGATCCTCCCACATCAGCCCCAAGTGGCTGGGACTATAGGCATGTGCCACCATACTCAACTAATTTTTTTTTTTTTTTTTTTTTTTTTTTTTTTTTGTAGAGATGGGGTCTCACTGTATTACCCAGGCTGATCTGAGCTCAAGTGATCCTCCCACCTCAGCCTCCCAAAGTGCTAGGATTAGAGGTTCGAGCCACTGTGCCCAGCCTAAAAAGCAGGCCTTTTCTAAGAGAAAATAGATCCAGTTATTCTTTGTGATGCCTGATATAATCCCTACGTCTTCTGTGCCCATGTATTTATATAAAATGTATGATGGCTTTGTTCTGTTAAGACATGAATAAAAAACACTTTCGTAAGCTGGTTTTCATAACTACTATCCAACTTTTTAAATGATTGTTTGGCAGAGGTGCAAAGAAAGAACTGGAGAAGCTGCTAAGATTTGTGGGGTTTTTTAAATTTGTTTATAGTAATGAGGAAAGAATTATTCTATCCCTCTGGTTATATTTCAGTGTTTACCTAAACTCTTTTCTTCCTTTTGATAAAAGAAAAAAAAAAGCCCCGTGTGGTAACAAAACCTTTAACAGGTGGGGTTTAGGCAGCTTAATCTGAGCTAGTAAAATAAATGAAACCTTTGATTCTTAGTCAAATATTTATTATTTGAACACTTTAGATTGCTGATTTCAAATGTTCTGCTGTTCCTTTCAGGGATTAAAAAGGCTGTTTTTCCAACCTAAAAGTTCTGTCTTAACACACAGGGTTTACTTTCTTATATACGGAGGTTCAACTGAGGAACAACGCTATCTGACTGCTTTGCGGAAAGAAAAGGAAGCTTTTGAAAAACTCATAAGGTAATACACAGAAAATCAGTATGAAAGCCAAAACTAGATTGGAAACCTTTTGGGGTTTGGCGGCTTCTCTGGACAGGGGAATGTCGGGTAGCCCTGCTCAGGAAGGATGGGGCGGGGAAGAAGTTGGAGAGGATCACAGTGAGATAAATGAGCAGTCTCATTTGTCCTCCAGTGTGGACCTCAGCACATGCTTCCTTTTTCTCTTCCCCCTTCCTCCTTCATCTCCAGTTGCTTTTCAGTGGTTTGTTTAATAGAATATTAGAAATGTAACAAAGACAACTGTTTCTCTGTTTACAAAGCATTATGAAAAAACACCAGAAATAAAGCTAAAATACTGCTTTTCTAAAAAGAATATATTAGTAAATCTCCCTCCCCCCTGCCTTATGCACAAGATTCTCCCCTCCTTTGAATGATTTTTTTTTCTCCTTGTAAAATTTCCATTGTCCGTGTGTGGGTGGCTGCTTAACGTTGATTGGGAAATGCTTTTACAACACAGCCAGTTATAATCACCGTCAATAGAATCACTCTGGGAAAATAATTTCTTAGAAAGTGTGTTGTTTGTCTGGACATACACATGTGTATATTTTTAAGAATGGGTAGGTATCTGGTACTATTCCAAATCCAAGTATTAAATTCCTTTCCATTTTATGAAAGGAAAATGTTGAGATACTCATAACCTGCATGGCTACCTGTTGCCCTGAAGGAATTCACGAAATCTGATAACCGCCCACCAGGGATATTGTCAAGGACATTGCAGCCTGGTGTGGGAAGATAGGCCAGATGATCTTTAAGAGCCTCAGAAACCAGGGCGAGGGCTGGATGGGGCATCACTGAGCTGAGCCAGAGAAAGCTGGACCAGCAGAGACCATGGCCTGGACTGAGTGTGGCTGGGCCAGACCAATCTTCCAAGCCTTGGACACTGGTGCAGAAATTATTTTTAGCAGTAGTCAACCTGCCAGGACCCTAGGCCGAATTTCAAAATGGACAACCATTCTACAGTGCTGGCTGCGGGTTCTCAGTGTACGTGCAACATATACACATAACCCGGTTAGCCCAGGAGAAGAATTCTTAGAAATGGCAGTATTTGCTGAATCAGTTGTGTGGAGTCCCATGATGGGGGTCAGCATTGCACATGGGCAGTCCCTGGTTTCCTTTTTCATCCTCTCGAAAGGCGACGTGCCTTGGCCATGTATTCATCCAGCTACGAGTCATACAAATATTGTTCATTCCTCTCAGCCTATGAAAATCCGTTTTCTACTAGTGTGCTCTATGGGATTGTTTATGTCGTATACCTGGGTGTATATATTTTTCGAAAACATAGTTCAGAAATCGTGTTGTAACAGACCAGGCATTGTACCAGCCACCTTTTCTTGTTGCAGGGCTCTTTGCTCTTCTCTGTCTTACTCTTTATCTTCTAGACCTTCACTCCCGAGGCTCAAACAGTAAACATATTTATTAAGCATCTGGTATGTGCCAGGTCCTGTGCTAATATTAAAGTGCTGAGGTTACAAGTGATGCAGAAAAAGCCTCTGGCCTCCTGGAACATTCCCTTTAGTGGAAAATACAGACATTAAATGATTATAAATATTGTAATAAGTTTAAGTACACAGAGCGCCCCTGGCTGCAAAGTTAAAAGAAGAGGGTGTAATAGGAGAGTGCATCAAAGACCTCACCCAGACCACAAGCTGATTGGGAGCCGCTTCCCCAAGGAAGTGATATTCAGGCTGATACTAGGCAGATGGGGTGGGAAGGGAGTTATGTTGAACAAAGGCGTGTATGAAGGCTCAGAGGTACAAAAGGCCCTGTGAAGGGTTTAGGACTTCACAGGCAGTAAGACTGCACTGAAGCATTCTAAGTAGGAAGGTGACTTAAGCATGTTTGTAAAGGCCCTCTCTGGCATCAGCTGAGGAATGAGTAAGTGTGGAAACCAGCCAGAATGCTATTGCAGTCATCTGATGAGAAAAGGTGGTAGCCAAGATTAGGTTAATGGAGGAAAAAGGACAGATTTGAGAGATATTTGGGAGATAGAATCAAAGAATTGGTGATACTAGATGTGGGCCAGTACCTCCTGACCATTCCTTCACTCTTTTTGAAACAGCCTTTGCCCAAGTTTTTGCCAATTAAAATAATTGTCACCTAGATAGAAGTGAGTGCACAGAGCTAAAATATTCAGATTGTGTTTTTGGTGTTCATGTCAGGGGTCCCCAAGATCATCCTCAGGCTCAATGATTCGCTGGAATTCACAGGAGTCAGAAAAGCTATTACACTTGCAGTACAGTTTCTTCCGGCAAAAGGATACAGATTAAGGCTGGATGCAGTGGCTCATGCCTGTAATCCCAGCACTTTTGGGAGGCCAAGGCGGGCAGATCACTTGAGGTCAGGAGTGTAAGACCAGCCTGGCCAACATGGTAAAACCCCAAAAAATGCAAAACTCAGCCGGGAGTGGTGGCGCATGCCTGTAATCCCAGCTACCCAGGAGGCTGTGGTGGGAGAATTACCCAAATCCCAGGAGGTGGAAGTTGCCATGAACTGAGATCACGCCACTGCACACCAGCCTGGGCAACAGAATGAGACCCTGTTTCAAAACAAATGTTTTTAAAGAATACAGATTAAAATCAGCAAAGAAAAAGGGGACAGGTGGCAAAATCCAAGAAAAACCAGGCCTAAGGTTCCAGGTATCCTTTCCCAGTAGAGTTACGTGAGTGTACTTAATCCTCCCAGCGACAGTGTGTGACCACACATGCAAAGTGTTGTCAACAGGGAAACTCACCTGAGCCTTGATGTCCCAAGTTTTTGCTGGAGCTGAGTCACATAGACACAGAGTGCCTCAATGACTGGCTTCAGCTCCTCAGACTCCAGCCCCCAAAAACAGACATTTACCATAAATCACATCGTCAGCATGAACTATCTAATCCAACTGGCACCTTGTGGTTCAAGGCCTCAGGCATATAAAAATCCTCTTATCAGGCAGAATACTCCATGGGCTCAGAGCTCATCTCCCAGGAGCTGGTCAAAAGCCAGTGTAGAGCAGAGAAGCCTTTCTTGGAAACATGAAGAGTTTGAGCAGCCCAGACCTGCTGAGTTAATCTGCACAGTGTTAGAGCCAGAGAGCCTAATAGAATGGGAGGAAGACATTACCTGAGTAGATGAGTTTCATGCTTCACGTGTCTTCATGCAGCTGCCTCTTCTCCAGTGCATCAGGGACTCTAATCTAGAAAAGAGCACTTTTAGTAGACAGTAATAAGATATTGGAATCCATGCCATTCCTGATGTATGCACATGCTTCCACACATCAGAGGGCTCAGTGACAAGATGTGGATTAGCCTTATACATACTGGAAAACCTCACTCAGCAGAGCCTGGAACATGGACTCTCTCCCACATTTCAATCCATACAATAATTTCTGCACCAGGTTTTAACATAATTTTATCTATTATCTGGCATAATATTTTTAATGCTTTCAATGGTGATTGTCTACTTGTCATAAATAAGATTTTCCCATTTTACCCAGCAGTCAATCAGATGGTTGCACTATTTAGAATCTTAAGATACAGCTGGGCACCGTGGCTCACACCTATAATCCCAGCACTTTGGGAGGCCCAGGCAGGAGGATCACCTGAGATTGGTAGTTCAAGACCAGCCTGACCAACATGGAGAAACCCCTTCTCTGCTAAAAATACAAAATTAGCCAGGCATGGTAGCTCATGCCTGTAATCCCAGCTACTTGGGAGGCCTGAGGCAGAAGAATCACTTGAACCCGGGAGGCAGAGGTTGTGGTGAGCCGAGATCACGTCATTGAACTCCAGTCTGGGCAACAAGAGTGAAACTCAGTCTCAACAACAACAAAAAAAAGAAGCTTAAGACACTTACTTTCCCAGGAAACTTGGGAAATTTGAGAGGTGCTTCTTTTGCAAAGCAAAAACATATTTGAGGTGCATTGTTCAAAGAACATTTGCACCGTGCCTATGCTTGGAGAAAAATTTAATGTGAAAATAAGGCAGTGTGCTTTTACCAAGACCTCCATGGGCGATGTGATAAGAACAATAGCAGTTGTGACTTTTTACAGTAACCACAAAGGAACAAATCAGGTGAACTGACAATGAGAGGATTGTTTAGCCAGATTAAAGATCTGTAGATTACAGGTAACAAGTAAAAAGGAAAAGGTTATGCTGCTAAATATCAATAATAAAATGCTCCCTGGGTAGACAGTAATAACATCCTCAGCATACATAGCTTTGAGGAGGTCACTGCTTTTCAAAGAAAGGGGTAAGATTATTTGAAATTTTACAGCTTGACAATCTGACCACAAAATGGGCTAGCACGAGGGCTTACGTAAATTCTCATTGGAAGAGACTTCTAGTTCAGTGCCACTTCCCTATGTTGGCATAGGATTAGGTTGTACAGGCTATTCAAATACCTTTGAAGACCGGGCTCAGTAGCTACATCTGTAATCCCAGCACCTTGGAAGGCCAAGGCGAGAGGATCACTTGAGCCCAGGAACTCAAGACTAGCTTGGACAGCATGTGAGAACCCATCTTAATTTGTTTAAAAATTAAAATGAAATACATTTTAATAAAAGTATCATTGAAGACACTAAAGCAAACATAGGAAATCTTGGGGCTTTAGATTAAGCAGAAGGAATCTGAATTTTTTAATTACTGTTTTCTGTGTCACATAGGGGAACTTGGATAATTATGCCACATGTTGGAAGCAAGAGACTTTTTATAATTACGGTAAATTTCTGCTAAATTGAATTAGTGGTTAGGAAGGCTTATTTGCTTCATAGTCCATGTTTCATCTCTGGAAAATATTTTTTCTCAGATTTGACTTGTAGTTAAGTTATAACATTTAGTAGTAAACTAGCTGCCATTTTCTGTAACTATTAATTGAAACAATTGTGGAATCATTTGAAAGCAAATCCTCAGTATTTTAGTATAATCATGGATAATTAGACAATGAGATTACCACCTTATAAGAAAAGTACAGTAATAATAATACCTGACATGTATGTACTGCTTACTAGGTGCCAGGCACTGTTCTGAATGCCTTGCATATATTATGTAATCCTCATAACAGTCTTTTGAGGTACATTTTTAAATTATTATCCTTATTTTACAGATAAAGAAATTGAAGCACAGAGCCATGAAATTACTTACCTAAGATCACGTGGCCAGTAAATGGTTTCAGATCCATACACTTTGGAACCAGAATCTTTAACCCACTAAGATTATACAGATTACAAATTCATCAGGAAATTAGGATGATCCTATGTGTGCTATATAGCATAGCCAGTGTAACAAGTAGAAATATAGTGTTTGACACAGTGAGCATACTAATACTAAATGAATGTTAAATAAAAATATAAGAGCAATAACTTTTTTTAATGCTTTGCACTTTTTCCTAACCAAAGTGCCATAGACAGAATGGAGTGGTAATGAGTGGCAGCTAGAGCCTCTGCCATTGCATAGGGCTTTTCAGCAGGTAGCGCTTGAGTCTGGTATTGAGAATAATGAGAAAAAACATGAAACTGGAACCCTTGCCTGCCCCCTTGTGATCCACTTATAAAATGTTGTACTCATAATAATTTTACATTTTTAGGTTGTTTGAAATAGTATAAAATTTAAAAGTATTACTTCTTTAGTAGTATCTTTCAGTGATACCCTGCTCCAAAATATTTATCCAGAGTGGTTAAAGAATTGGAACCATCTGATTTCATTTCCTCTAATGGGTATATTAGTCGATTTTCACACTGCTATGAAGAAATACCCCAGACTGGGTAATTTACAAAGAAAATAGGTAGCCAAGTTTCACATGGCTGGGGAGGCCTCAGGAAACTTAACGATCATAGCAGAAGGGGAAGCAAACTTGTCTTTCCTCACATGGCAGCGGGAGAGAATGAGTGCAGCAGGAGAAATGCCAGACACTTATAAAACCATCAGATCTCCTGAGAACTCACTCTCTATCCTGAGAATAGCATTGGGGGAAACCACCCCCATGATTCAGTCACTTCCCACCAGGTCCCTTCCAGGACGCATAGGAGTTATGGGAACTATTAATTCAAGATGAGATTTGGGTGGAGACACAGCCAGACTGTATCAATGGGAAAATCTTGGTTGTTTTAACCCTTGTTGAAATTAACTAACATTGGTGGTTCCTCTTCTGTTCCCCTCACCTTTGTCTCTTTTATTGCACTTCCTCAGTTCCAGTCTTTTGTTTTTTTCTCATGTTTGCTCTGTTTTCTCGACTCACTTGCCAACCCCAGGAGGGAAGAGACTAAGCTTATACATCTTTTCTATCGTACCTGGCAGAATTAATTATAACATACCTTACCAGTTTGTAAAAATAAGGCTACCGCAAACCTGGGTTACTCTTTCTGTGATTATTGAGGATCTTGTCATGATGTGGTTCCAAATTGCGAATCTTCTGATTGTACCATCCTCTAGATCTTATATATCTAAGATATATAAGATATATAGATCATATCTTATATATCTTATCATATATAAGACATGAGCCGTCTTAAAGACAGGAATTCTTGTGTGATCACAGTTATATCCAATGTACCTAGAGCACCATGCAGGAACACTCCATAAACGTTTTTCAGTAAATGCATGAGCAAGTCATGAATGCTGCTTCCAAGGCATAACATGAGCTATTGATTTTTTATTTTAATCTCTGATAGAAATTTGATTTCTTGTATCGATTTCAAAATCTTGATCTTGATTTTTCTTTAAAACTCAGGATATTTAATGGGACCTCCCACCTGGAATTTTCAAAATCAAAATTCTATCATATATGTGTTTTTAGTCTCTTACAGATTTTTAAACATTCCTATTTATGATTACCCTGAAAATGTTTGAATAGAAATGATTTACTTTTTAACATCAATAACACTTTAACCTTACAGTCTTAGGAGTCTCTTGGTGGCATGTTCTTATGTGACATTTTTTTTTGACATGCTTATATTGTTTCTTAAATATTTGCATAGAAAATCAAAATAAACAACTGCTTTTTTTACTCTGGAAAATCAATAATTAGTACCCGATTAAGGTACTTTTTGCCTTAACTTTTTCTACTTCCTTTACCCATCACTTGTCTTGGCATATTTATTTCTAATATACTCCTTGCTTTTTTTTCTCTTATTGCCCTCATTATGTAGATCATTGTCAGTGCTGCAATTTACAAAAGATAATATCTAGAATTTAAAAATTAGTTTCAAAAGTGTTGACAATATTTTCTTCCACAGGGAAAAAGCAAGCATGGTTGTCCCTGAAGAAAGAGAAGGCAGAGATGAAACAAACCTAGACCTGGTAAGAGGCATAGCATCCGCAAATGTTTCCACTGACACTCGGAAAGCCGGTGAGTCCTCTACCTCCATTGCCTGCAAAGTGGGCTGTAAAGTTCCACAGTTAGTCTGCTAAGGCTTGGTCTGTATCAACAAACTCTTAAAAATGGGGGTCAGACAAGGAGAGGATGTGTACTTCCCTACTCTAACCTCAGCTCTGCCATTCACTAAACATGTGTCCCCATAGTGAAGGCACTGTGTCATCCGCAAATCATGTGAGGTTGAGTTCTAGGCATCCCAGCTTAGAATGGGTTTTGGTGCAGCATTGCCTTTGCATTTGGTTGGTTGAGACTCAGAATGTACTTTGTAAATAAACTTTGGTAAATGGTGATTAGGTTCTTATCTCAACCTAAAAAGCCAATTTAGGCTGGGCTCAGTGGCTCATGCGTGTAATCCCAGCACTTTGAGAGGCTGAGGTGGTCAGATCACCTGAGGTCAAAAGTTTGAGACCAGCCTGACCAACATGGAGAAACCCCATCTCTACTAAAAGTTCAAAATTAGCCTGGTGTGGTGGCGCATGCCTGTAATCCCAGCTACTTGGGAGACTGAGGCAAGAGAATCACTTGAACCCAGGAAGCAGAGGTTGTGGTGATCTGAGATTGTGCCATTGCACTCCAGCCTGGGTGACAAGAGTGAAACTCCGTCTCAAGGGAAAAAAAGTTAATTTAACTCAGTGTACTTGAAGGAAGTTTCTCCTTTCCCCTTAGGTGTATACATAGATGGGAGTTGTTTGGGGTGCATACACTCCCCCTCTCCTTCCATATTCATTTCTTCTTGGTAGCTCCCCAGATCCCCAGTGTCTGGTTGCATTGCAGTGCAGTGTCCAGACTATGGCATGCTACCAAGACCTGCTGAATTCCAAGTGCACTGTGATCCAGAAGTCACCATTTTACCATTCCTCAAATTTCAGCAGCAGCTGATTTCAGCCAGGTGGCATGAGAAAAGCAACACGATTGAGTTGGTGTAACCTTTGGTAAGGCTAAGTACATTTAGAGCAGTGGGTGTTAGATTTTTTTTTTTTTTGAGACGGAGTTTCGCTCTTGTTACCCAGGCTGGAGTGCAATGGCACGGTCTCGGCTCACCGCAACCTCCGCCTCCTGGGTTCAGGCAATTCTCCTGCCTCAGCCACCTGAGTAGTTCGGATTACAGGCATGTGCCACCATGCCCAGCTACTTTTTTTTGTATTTTTAGTAGAGATGGGGTTTCACCATATTGACCAGGACGGTCTTGATCTCTTGACCTGGTGATCCACCCGCCTCAGCCTCCCAAAGTGCTGGGATTACAGGCTTGAGCCACCGCGCCCGGCCAGATTTTTTTTTTTTGAGACGGAGTCTTGCTCTATCACCAGGCTGGAGTGCAGTGGCGCAATCTCAGCTCACTGCTATCTCTGCCTCCTGGGTTCAAGCAATTCTTCTGCCTTAGCTTCCCGAGTAGCTGGGACCACAGGTGTGTGCCACCATGCCCAGCTAATTTTTGTATTTTTAGTAGAGACGGGTTTTCACCATGTTGGCCAGGATGGTTTTGATCTCTTTACCTCGTGATCCACCCACTTCCGCCTTCTAAAGTGCTGGGATTACGGACATGAGCCACCGCACCTGGCCGGGTATTAGAATTTAGTAGACTTTAGAATAACCTTGGATGCTTGTTAAAACTATAGATTCAGCCAGGCGCAGTGGCTCACGCCTATAATCCCAGCACTTTGGGAGGTCAAGACGGGCGGATCACCTGAGGTCGGGAGTTCGAGACTAGCCTGACCAACATGGAAAAACTCCGTCTCTACTAAAAATACAAAAAATTAGCTGGGCATAGTGGTGCATGCCAGTAATCCCAGCTACTCTCAAGGCTGAGGCAGGAGAATCGCTTGAACCCAGGAGGCGGAGGTTGCAGTGAGCTGAGATCAGGCCATTGCACTCCAGCCTGGGCAACAAGAGTGAAACTTCGTCTAAAAGAAAAAAACTGTAGTTTCACAGCCCTCAGTTCATAGAAATTCTGACTCAGTGGATATGAAATGGAGCCAGCAGCTCGGGGGCTTCTCTACTTTGAGAAACAGTGCCTCAGAACCTCTGTGTCTTGTTCAGAGAAAATTCTTTGGAAAATCAACCAGGTTGTTGACATTTCATGAAGAACTGCAGAATGTAAGGCAATGTGAAGGAAGATAAATTGGAGTATATGGGGACCACAGAGAGCTATTCGTAGAAGCCTGTCCTTAGAAGTCACTTCTCCACACCTTCATAGTAGTTGCCTATGCTGCTATACCGAATCACCACAGACTTAATGGCTCAAAACAGCACACGTTTTATTATGTTACAGTTCTGCAGGTTCAAAGTCCAGATGGCTTTCATGGGGCTAAAATCAAGATGTTGGCATGGCTGCATTTCTCCTGGAGGCTTGAGGGTAGAATCCCTTTCCTGGCCTTTTCCAGTCTCTAGAGGCCATCTGAATTCCTTAGCTCATGGCCCCTTCTTCCGTCTTCAAAGCCAGTAGCATAGCATCCTCTGTTCTCTGATCATCCTACCTCCATCCTTCACTTCTCAGAACCCTTCAGCCTATCTAGATAACCCAGATAATCTCCCAATCTCAAAATGCTTAACGTAGATACATCCTGAGAAATGTGTCATTAGGCGATTTCATCGTTATGTGAATATCACAGAATGTGCTTACACAAAGCTAGACGATCTAGCCTGCTGCACAGCTAGGCTATGTGGTGTGGCCTACAGCTCCTGGGCCACAAACCTGCATAGCATGTGACTGTGCTGAATACTCTAGGCAACTGTAACACAGTGGTAAGTATTTGTGTATCTAAGCACATCTAAACATAGGAAGGTATGATACAAATACAGTATTGTGATCTTACAGGATCGCTGACTTACAGGCACTTTGTCATAAAATGTTATTGTACAGCACATGCCTCTATTCATAGGTTATGGGGACAAGAATGTGGACATCTTTGGAGGGTACCATTATTCTGCCTAGAGCAGTCCTTGATACTTAGAAGTGTGATCCTTAAACCAGCAGCATTAGCATCACGGGGGATTTTGTTATAAATGCAGACTCATAGACCCCTTAGCTCAGACCTACTAAATACAGAATCTGCTTTTTTTTTTTTTTTTTGAGACAGAGTTACGCTCTCGTTGTCCAAGCTGGAGTGTAATCTCAGCTCACTGCAACCTCCACCTCCTGGGGTTGGAATGATTCTCCCACCTCAGCCTCCCAGGTAGCCGGGATTACAGGCATGCACCACTACTCCTGACTAATGTTTGTATTTTTAGTAGAGATGGGGTTTCACCATGTTGGCCAGGCTGGTCTCGAACTCCTGACCTCAGGTGATAGGCCCACTTTGGCCTCCCAAAATGCTGGGATTACAGGCATGAACCACCGTACCTGTTCTCCTGCCTCAGCCTCCCGAGTAGCTAGGACTACAGGTGTGCAGCACCACACCTAGCTCATTTTGTATTTTTAGTAGGAGATGGGGTTTCACCATGTTGGCCAGGCTGGTCTCGATCTGTTGACCTCATCATCCACCTGCTTCAGCCTCCCACAGTGCTGGGATTACAGGTTTGAGCCACCACACCTGGCTCAGAATCTGCTTTTTAACACACCCCAGGTGGCTCATGTGCATGTTAGAATATGAGAAGCTGTGTTCTAAGATATTTATGTTTTTCCCAGCTCCTTCCCTTTCCCCATGTCTGGACTCACTGCTATAAACACAATAGTTCCTGAAGCACTAGACTTACTCAGTGAGCATTTTTAAGCATCTACTGTGTCTGCTATTTTAAGCATCTGCTCTCAGGCTTTGTCCTAGAAATTGGGAATACATTGACCAACAAAATGTGGTCAGTGCAATAATAATGGGCTATAAGGAAACTACAGAGGGGAAACTAGCAGATATGATGGATTTATGAATCATTGCAAATAAGGAACTACTGATAGACTGTTACTCTCTTATTAGCTCTGTTTCATTTAAGGGAAATCACCTCTACTTTGTAAACAAATCTTTTTGAAAATACAGAAATTATATGAAATATTACCATGTAGAATTATGTAACCATCCATCAGAGTTAACAACAGAAACATTGATTTTTAGGTTTTGCTGTATTCCTTTTTTGAGGGTTCTTCCCAGTGACACTACTTACTTTTTCTCTGTAGGTGGCCAGGAACAGAATGGTACACAGCAAAGCATAGTTGTGGATATGCGTGAATTTCGAAGCGAGCTCCCATCTCTGATCCATCGTCGGGGCATTGACATTGAACCCGTGACTTTAGAGGTTGGCGATTACATCCTGACTCCAGAAATGTGCGTGGAGCGCAAGAGTATCAGTGATTTAATTGGCTCTTTAAATAATGGCCGCCTCTACAGCCAGTGCATCTCCATGTCCCGCTATTACAAGCGTCCTGTGCTTCTGATCGAGTTTGACCCTAGCAAGCCTTTCTCTCTCACTTCCCGAGGTGCCTTGTTTCAGGAGATCTCTAGCAATGACATTAGTTCCAAACTCACTCTTCTTACACTTCACTTCCCCAGACTCCGGATTCTCTGGTGCCCTTCTCCTCATGCAACAGCAGAGTTGTTTGAGGAGCTGAAACAAAATAAGCCCCAGCCTGATGCGGCAACAGCATTGGCCATTACAGCAGATTCCGAAACCCTTCCCGAGTCAGAAAAGTATAATCCTGGTCCCCAAGACTTCTTGTTAAAAATGCCAGGGGTGAATGCCAAAAACTGCCGCTCCTTGATGCACCATGTTAAGAGCATTGCAGAATTAGCAACCCTGTCACAAGAGGAGCTCACGAGTATTCTGGGGAATGCTGCAAATGCCAAGCAGCTTTATGACTTCATTCACACCTCTTATGCAGACGTCGCATCTAAAGGAAGAGTTAAAAAGTGAACAGTGGGGGCTGTTTTCTTATCCCATGGCTGTGCCTTTCAGCTGCTCCTTGCCAGATATCATCGGTTGTTATTAATTATTAGTTTGGTATTTCATTCCTTTCCAATGCTCTTACTGATTGTGTGGGGGGCCAGAAGCCAGGATTCCTCTCTGAACTCTGCAGTTAGGCATCACTTCAGCTTGCCCGTGCCTGCTCTTTTCCCTCCCTGCACAATCCATGCCAGGCTTAGCATATTCCTTTTTAAATGAGATCTCTCACGATCAGGTAAAGTTTCTACGAGAAGGTAGAAAGACACGGAGGGTGCAGGGAGGGAAAAAAGCAAGCATAAGAAAGCTGCCATTTCCCACAGTCCTTGTTATCTAGTGCAACATAAATAACAGTCTTAATTGTACTTCGTACCAGTGCCCCGTGGCTCTCAAAATCTGGTCTTTGCTGTTGTATCTGCTGGACGCTTGAACTGATGTTTGTGTAGGAAATCATGTTCTGACCCTCTGTCTACAAAGGAGCCTTCTGGAACACTGAGAAGGAACATTTCTTTGCCATTCCTGACCAGTTCTCTCTATCACTTTTTCTTCAACTCCATACTTCTTCTGCCTGTCTGTTCTAAGGAAATTTTATGGAGCCTTCCTATTACTAACTCAAGAGAGCCACCTCTAAAACTGGCTGACGAGTCTTCTAATGACCCAAACATATGTAGCATGTGCTTTTGATGACCCAAACATATGTAGCATAACTTCATTGTAAAGTTAGTATTTTTAAAACATAAAATGAATGACCTATTTGTAAAAGTTAATGGTGAAGGAGCTCTTAGAATTCTCAATTTTTACACATATTCAGTCTCCTAATATCAGAGATCTCAAAGCCCAAATGGCTAGTTATAGAGTTTTTTTAAAGACCTCCTCATTTCCCAGCTCTGTCAGATCCTAAGACACCAGCACCATATCCTCTAGAAATACAACCTAAGCTCACCCTCCTGTGATTGTTCATTTCTCACAATCCTATGCCAGGGTGACTCCTTTCTTCTCTGTGTGAGGACCTAAATACAAGCCAAGAAGTGGCCCACTAAGCTTTTAAGATTTGGTTTTCTGCCTTGAGATAAAAAGGATTGTAGGTAAATGAAAGATCAGTGTATGGAATATATAAAAATTCAAAAGAAATATATACACTTAAAAATCCATAAAGAAAAAAAAATCCCATTCTAAACCTGATTAAGTTGACTTTTTACTTAAGTGTGAATATGGGATATTCATAGCATCTATGTGCAATTTTTAAACTTTTATATTTAAACATTACTAATTTGGCTATTGTTCACATGTTTAGAAATGAGTAGTAAATTTTCTACCTCAGGGGCTGATACAGACATCAGTTCTGCTAGCTATGTCACATATTTTAATGTTTCATCAATATCAGCTATTTTTTTGTTTGCTGTACTGTTTGAACTAATAGATGCTAGATCATGTAATACAAAATTGTCTTCAACTTTAACATTTTTTTTTTTTTATGAGATGGAGTCTCCCTCTGTTCGCCAAGCTGAAGTGTAGTGGCGCAATCTCAGCTCACTGCTTCCACCGCCTTCCAGGTTCAAGCGATTCTCCAGCCTCAGACTCCCAAGTAGCTGGGATTACAAGTGTGCACCACCCTGCCTGGCTAATTTTTGTGTTTTTAGAAGAGACGAGGTTTCACCATGTTGGCAGGCTGGTCTCAAACTACTAACCTAGAGTATTCCATCCCGCCTCGGCCTCCCAAAGTGCTAGGATTACAGGCATGAGCCTCCACTCCCAGCCAACAAAATTATTTTTAGCTTTCCTTTTTGAACTGAACCTCTCATACTGGCATCTTGATTTATTGGTACTTAACAGTATGTATGGATTTTGAACTTTACACAAGGGTACTACAAGAATCAGTTAAGGGGTATCAAGAACCAGATTGGTAGACCTCTGTAAGATGACGTGGAGAGTAAAGAGGACAAGAAATAAAATTAGTTTAAGGTGGAATAAAGATTTGGGCTGCTAATTTTTTCTCAGGATTGAAAATATACCCCCTAGAATAGAAAACAAAAATTTGAATGATTACAACATTGTCATCAACATTCTATTTTTTATAAATTGTTGTATTGAAGATAGTTCAGAATATATTAAAATAGACCTACCACTTCAAATAGTAATGGTTATTATAATGACTCTTCACCCTCTTCTAGTACTTCGGCTTGCAGTATGTAGTCTATTTTTTTCTTCCGGTATCATTGCACTTGCCTTTTACTGTTGTTTCATTATATAAAAGGAAAATCTTAACATAGCATATTGTGTGAAAGGGGTTTCAGTCCAAGTTAGTTTTCAAAAATAAAAATAAGGTCTTCTTTCCCCCACACGCCAAACGGAGTCTTGCCCTGTCACCCAGGCTGGAGTGCAGTGGTGCAGTCTCAGCTCACTGCAGCCTCCACCTCCTGGGTTCAAATGATTATCTTGCCTCAGCCTCCTGAGTATCTGGGATTATAGGCACATGCCGTCACACCCAGCTAATTTTTGTATTTTTAGTAGAGACAGGGTTTCATCATGTTGGCCAGGCTGGTCTCAAACTCCTGACCTCATGATCCACCCACCTTAGCCTCCCAAAGTGCTAGGATTACAGGCATGAGCCACCACACCCAGCAAAAATAAAGTCTTTTTATTGCTACCCTTTTCAACCGTCCTTGTTACCTAGTGCAACATAAATAACAGTCTTGATTGCACTTTATACCAGTGCCCCATGGCTCTCAAAATCTGTTCTTTGCTGTTGTATCTGCTGGACGCTTGAAGACAGGTGCGCTGTCTGGTATGTATTTGAATTATGAACAGTAACTTCTAATGAATTCTAAAATGGTCACTATAAGTGAAAAGCCTCTCGCTACCACGTCCTCTTACAACTACATATATTTCATTGTATTTCCAGTTTTGGAAAGTTTTCAATACATCAAGTATTTACTTAGATTTTTGTACAGTTTTTCTTACAATCTAAGAATCTTTGGAAAAGGAACTAGAGATGCATGCAGTTGCAAAATTAATAGTTCATTTTCCAGCATCATTTTATTAACTTCACTTTTTTCTATCAAGATAGTAAATATCCAACTTATGAACTCACGTTTAGCTCTTTTAAAACCTTTTTTAAAAGCTAGATCAGCATTCTCTTTTACACGTTTTTTGTATAAAAATGTGAACATATGAAATATTGTAAGAAATCATTTTAAGTTTCACTTAAATCATAGTGCCTTTTTTTGATACTTCCTTAAAATTATGCAAGAAGAAATCATTTTTAGTAATGGTCATAAATATTATCCATTTGGCAATAGTTGCTGTTTCTTCAGTCTGAAGCTCAGCAGGCAATATGTCTACATGTGTTTGAGTACATCCTGGATACAGTGTCCCAGCTCATGAGAGTCTGAAAATAGTCTCATTCCTTAAACCACTAGGACATGAAGGGTTAAGTCTAGATTTGGTTGCATTGAAATCCCACAATCTAGAATTAATAAATGGCCTTTAGCAGGAAAACCTACACAAAAGCAAATGTGAAGAAGTAGGGGAGGGGGAGACCAGCATTACTGGTCTTTCCTTTTGTTTTGCAAGGATAATTTGACTTTCCTTTGGCTCAGAAAACTTCTTTGGGGAAATTCTCTTTTGTGTTCAATTTAACCTAGAAATGTCCTCTTAAAAACCAACATTTTGGGGGAGTTCTTTTTTCAGGATGGAGTATATTAAAATTAAGCCAGGCTTTGACATGAATTATCACTTTTCTTATTTTGCTTTCTACATTGGTTTATAGGTATTTCTGGTTCAATTCTGAATTTCAGCACTTACTTAATCATCTTTATCTACCAGGTTTTTGGTGGCCTAAACCACTGTGCTGTTGTTTTTTAATTTAAAGATGCAAAAGCCAAATTTTGGATGGGAGTGAGAAATAACTGATTGATATGAATTTTAACAGAGTTGTATGTGTGTGTGTTTGATATATATTTATTCAGTATTTTCCTCAGCATTTTATGGGCAAAGTAAAAATAACAATGTATAGTGAAAGGGCATATATTACCAGCAGTGATAATTTAAAGCCTTGAAAATATTGCTTTGTTTGTTTTTGTTATGTAGAATTAACGATTAAAGCAGAAATGCTCTTTGAACCACTGTTTTTGCTGTTTAATTCATTCAGTAACCTACTTTCTAAGACTCGAAAATATTGGTTATTTTTCCTTTCTGCTTTTCATTCTGTATCATGTCTCCTTAAGGAGGAAAACAAAGCAAAAACTCTTCTGAAAATATTCATTTGTGAGTTTATAATGAGTGTGTGGTAAGCACAATGCCTGGGGTATCTTAGCTCAGCAAAGGTGAGTATTCCCTTGCCACTCCTGCTTCATACATTTTTGTTCCTTTAATTTCAGAGTTGGAAGAGATGAATTATCCTTTCAACACCTCGAGAATTTATTGCAGTCTTTCAAACCAGTTTAATTATTAGTTACTGATTGGCTCATTTCAATGATTTAATTACATTTGCTTCTGCTTCAAAATGTAGCTCTGTATCCCTTTTTAACAAGGTGTGAGACAGGTTATTTCTCACTATGTTTTAGTGTCTGAATAAAACTTTGGCAGACTAGCAAACCCCTTCTCAGCAGCAGCGCTGTAACTTACATTTTTTTAGAAATCACTTATGATCCATTATCTTATTTAATCCTCATAACAAACCTATGAAGTTACTATTATTTAATCCTGTTTTACAGTGATGAAACAGACACGGAGACGCTAAGTAATTTGCTCAAGGTCACCCAGTAGTAAATGGTGGAACCATGATTTGAAACCTTGGTGTACAGCCCCAAATGAAACAGTGGGTGCTATAGGGAGAATGGGAAACATTTCTGTCCGCTTTTATGTGTCTGATTACAAATGTGTCATAGAAAAAGCAAATTGTTTTTATACCAAGAAAGTGTCAAAAGCAAGTATGTAAAACTTAGATAAAATGATACTGAGTCTCCTGTGTAGAGCTAGATATTTAGCAGTTGCCTGGGCTGCCTCTGATTTTCTAGGGCCGTATGCCTCTTTGTCACTGATTAAGAAAGCTATTTTGCAACTTCATAAGAATCGAGGTTAGTTTAAATAAAACTATTGGCCATGCAAATAATTCTTGTCCAGATGCATTGCAAAGGTCATTGCCTGGTGTAGCATTAACTGATCCTATATTTTTTCATAAATGTAGTTATGCACTCCTTTGACCAACAAACTCCAAATCTCCAGGTCCGTGACTTTCTTCAGAACCAGTCTTAATATCTTCCTGGTTCCTCATTAATTAAGTCAAATAAAATCTTTGACTCCTGTTTTGTTCTTTTTGTATGTGAGCCATGGTTTTAACTTTTTTTTTTTTTTTTTTCTGAGATAGAGTCTTGCTCTGCCACCCAGGCTGGAGTGCAGTGACACGATCTCGGCTTACTGCAGCCTCCACCTTCCAGGTTCAAGTGATTCTCCTACCTGAGACTCCCTAGTAGCTGGGATTACAGGTGCCTACCACCATGCCTGGCTAATTTTTGTATTTTTAATAGAGATGGGTTTCGCCATTTTGCCCAGGCTAATCTCCAATTCCTGACCTCAGGTGATCCACCCACCTTGGCTTTCCAAAGTGCTGGCATTACAGGCGTGAGCCACCATGCCTGGCCTATGGTTTTAGCTTTTTGACAATTGTGCTTTGCAATTGTATTGCCAACATAAGCTCCCAAAGCTCCCATATCATGATAAAACTCTGTTTCCAGCCTCACGTGTCCTAAAGTTATAAAATAGAAGAGGGTTGGGGCTGGGCATGGTGGGCTCACGCCTGTAATCCCAAGACTTTGGGAGGCCTAGGTGGGCAGATCACCTGAGGTCAGGAGTTCAAGACTAGCCTGAACAATATAGTGAAACCCTGTCTCTACTAAAAATACAAAAATTATCCAGATGCAGTGGCACGCACCTGTAGTCCCAGCTACTCAGAAGGCTGAGACAGGAGAATTGCTTGAACCCAGGAGGCGAAAGTTGCAGTGAGCCGAGATCGTGCCATTGCACTCCAGCCTGGGCAACAGAACAAGACTCTGGCTCAGAAAAGAAAAAAGAAGAGCGTAATACATATGCACATGTACATATATAAAATCAAGGAATATATATATATATATATATTTCTTAAAT